CCGATTCGGCTACTGAGACTGCATGAACCAAATTCTTGGCTCAACCCCAAAAAAATTACCAGTGAAGTGGTGCTTCCTATAGAGGCCAAAGAATGCTCTGCCCTCAAGATTTCGAATTTTGTGGGTGAATCGATGGACCACGGACGTGACGAGCTGATCAACGCAGTGCCGTCATAGGCCTATGTAGGCTATATTAGGGGCTGCCAGAGTTCAGCTTTCGATTCGATGTGTTTCAAACGGGTGGTTAGGCTTGTGGGCACACTGTAAACTGTATTTATAAAAATAAAAATGTACTTAACTTTTTCTACGTGCACATCTGTTAAAATTATTGTCCATCTAAAGACGAACAAAGAGAGCTTGTTATAGAAAATGTCGACAGCTGCTTTTTAAAGCAGCAAGAATGGCCCATTCCATATAGACATCTGTTCTACGTAGTTTTCAAAACTACAAATATTTTTAGGGCTCTGCCGATGTACCGCTACACAGTGACATAAACTTCAAAGAAGAAAGGATAATAATACTTTTCGTTAAACTTAAGTGTTTCACAGTTCACTAAGGTTGAATGTTTGTGCTGCTCAAAGGCATTACCCGCCTACCACATAAGGCCACGTGTCATATTATTTCTGGCCCCTATAAAACCGAATAGATAACTCCATTGGCATACAAATTGCTGGTGTTACACAGTAAAAGACCTGACCACAACGTAGCAACCAGATAACGTCTCTTTAAGAACAATTTCAGCTCACAACGATCGGCAATAAGTGACAGGCGCTACCTTTGTTTTCCTCAGTCGTAATCTTAATGCCAAACGCACAAGAATGTTTAAAAATAAAAGTAGGTTGTAAATTTGGACTTAGGTTCTTGCAGAATGTTGGATAAATCCAAATATTTTTTTTATTCTATTAAAAAGAGATTCATATTATCTGGACATCAAATTAGTTGAATCAGTAGGTCATTTGCTGATTATATTAATGTTGTATTTCGTAGCTAGAATTACTGTTTACTATTCTAAACTTTAGAACATGTCTACACATGGTGTAGCCTGGATATGAACGATGCAATATTACTACCCAAAGAAATCTTGCTACGTCTTTGTGATTTTACAAAATTACGTTTGTGGTGACATCTCTAGTTATTTCTTCAAGTAATCAAACCTCCAATGCGTGGTTTTTTAAACAGAGGCCTCATTACAAAAAAAAGTGTTGTTGAAAGAAATTATGGGTATAACCTCGTGTAAATATCAAATATTCAAATGAAATTCAATGCAAGGTTTGGCAGGTTTCGACCTTTACTCTCTCATCTATGTATTACAGGAAAGCTTTGCGACTGAGAACAATTGACTCTTATCGATCTCCTAATAGCCTGTTGTCTGGAAAGTAAATTTATGTAGATTTACACTTATGCAAAAGAAAAATGCTGTTTCGGGATTCCAATAGCGCGCATGTGTGTGTGTACGTACGACTGTACAGAGCTTTAGCAGCTGAACGATCTATCGCTTAGTCCTTACATTCTAAATAACTTCATGGAATAAAGTCCTTCTTAAAAAGATCTTACTTCTTAAGTTGTAAAATATTCCCTGTCTCCTTTAAAACCTGAAGGTTCATTATCGTTTTTAAGCATACACGCCAACAGACTTTCTTTTGATACTGATAAATCCACTACACTACTCATAATACCACAATCTGAGAGCAGTCTACTCAACTTCTAAATTGTAATTTACAAATAAGTATAATCAGAGAAGCATTCGGCTTCAGTATTTTTATCTTCTCTGAAGAAATAAACCTCCAAAGGGATCTAACACAGCAAATCGCGCGTGTCCAGTAATGACCCTAACCAACAGGAAGGAAACCGCTCGTCTCAAATGTGGTTAAAACACGCGCCCACAGCGGCATACCAGGTTACAGTGATTTCACGTCGTATGTACCAAATTAGAAAATGTTCACATAGTATACCAATTTTTACGCGTTCCTGTTTGCTACATTCTGATGCTGCCTTGTAAACAGCCAGGTAGGGAAATCCGACAGAATAAATATTCTAAATAGAGGGAAATTTAGAAAGGAGAGCAGTAGTGTGAGAAAACCTTTGGCCTGACCAGCCGAGGACACACGACACATCAAACTCCTGGTATGTTATTGTGCTTCTATGTTTATAGTGAATTTTTATAACAATATCCAAACTCATTTACATATAAATAATATTAATAATGTTAATTATATTGTTGATAATTTCACAGAAATAATGAACAAATAATATAATACGCCACATAATATGCAAAAGAATCAGAAGAAAAAAGGAACATCCACAACTACAACCTACAATCTACAAATACTGAAAAGAATATGTATGAATTGAAAACACAAACATGACGCATCTAAACTATAAACTTTGGAGGGAAGTAAGAGACATTTTACTTGAGGATTATTGGGGTAAAAGGCATCACTTAATCGGAAAACTATCCGTAAACTCGACCGAGATGCAAACCAGGCAGGCCCATATTCAAAATGCATGAAAAGTAAAGCGTATTATATCATGAACTAAAGTTTTCGAACTTCAGAATGTCATCCCAATACAGATGACACGTGGCGTCTAACAACAGGCACATCAATTCTTCCTTTGCCGTCACATTACAAAGCCACTACAGACTTGCAGAGCCTATTAATTCGAACAGCCTTTCTGCTCATTTACGTACACGCGTGAACATCTTAAATTCGGCCTAGTGTTCACTGGGGCCTGGCACCACTTCGATGAAACTGTATTATGTAGCTTGTAGCGACTGACAGTAGAGAAATATCTAAATGAATTATGTTGGGGGAGGGGAGAAAGGCCTACAAGTTATATACGTGTGTCTGTGTTGAACACCTAGCCTTTCAGACTAGCTAACTTCACATTCGCCTGTATATCTGAATGTATGCTCGCTTATTATCTCAGATCTTACGACATTCGCCTATTCATAATTGTAAGTAAGAATTTAAGATTTAATAATATGAATTTTAGATACACTATAAAGCAGTCTTAATACTTTTATGAAAGTCTCTTCGTATAGTCTATTCGTTCCTTTTTCTATTAATTTTCTAGCCTCTGCTTAGACCTGTAACCAACAGACATAAACATCAAAAAGACGTATTTTTAAATCCACACTTTGTGCCGTCTTGGTTTAATTTCCGAGTATATCACACTAAATGTCTTATCGATTAACCTTCAGATAGACTATAATCCGAATTATATAAAAAATAAACCTTATAAGCACTCTGTTAGATTAGAACCGAAAGTTTGTGACGACAGTGAATTGTTAAAATTTAACAAACTCCTTAGATATTAGGGCGATGGATAATGTACAAAACGCGAAACTCTAGAATATATTCCTACTAATGATAATAGCAAAAATATCATCTACAGGCGAAAAATATCTTTACTGCACGTTTCTTAAATCGAATGGACTTACTATTATAGGCCCAATATTGATAATCTTGGAAGGGGAAACAGAACAGGGTTCATTGGAACCCATAACAAAAGAAATTATTGCGTTATTTTCGCTGTGTCATTTCCGTCGACACGAACAACGCCTGACCCGACAGCCGTGTTCCGCAGGTCGACGACGGAGACTCCAGTCGAACAAGTCCGTCGATTGCTTTCAGAGCAGGAGCAAATGGATTAACAAGGCATCAACTGCTTGCAGTAGTCGTTAAAATTACATTCTTTTGGGGGGTTCCGATGGGGCACTTCCTCGGAACCCTCCTAACAAGCAACTCGTCTATGTTCGTCCGTTCAATTAGTCTATTTAAGTGCATTCGTTACAGATACTTAGTTTCGTGAAAATTTATACGAACATCTTAGTAAGCGAGAGATTATATAATCGTTAAGTATCTAAAGAATGTCTGCAGGAAAGAGATTAGTTGGGAGATCTAGATGCGTATGGAAGGATAATATTAAAACAGGTTCTAAAAGATGAGGTAGGGGAATGTGGGTTGGATTCGTCTACTCAAGATAAGTTAAGTTATTAGTGGCGGTCTGCAGTGAGCACGGAAATGGCCCGTAGTTTAGAATAATTTATTGATTAGCTGAATGGCTGTTAACTTCTGGAGAATGAAACTAACCAGCACAGAAATTGGAAGCCTGTTAATGCGTGCTACGTGTCCTGTTCATCTCGTTCGTTTTAATTTGATCGCCGAGAGTAGAGGAAAAATGACAAAGCTCCTCATTCTCGTGTCTTCTGTATTCTTGGGTCCAAAGTTTTGCTGGCCATGCTCTCAAAGACACGCTACAACGATTAACACAATGCAGAATTGAAAGACTCTCTACTGAATAACTCTAGCATTGTTCTTACATCAGAAAACATTGAAATGTGGAATGTCTTACTGTCGACACCTGATCTTCAAATGATTCTCCTGTTGGGTCCCTACACAAATTCACGGATAATACCTAATTCGTAATTCTGAAATCACTTCATCGTTTATCCTGCTTCATCAGTCTTAAGATAATGATGAAGTTTGTACAGTCGCTGAACTGAATGGTGGAATTCTTCAGAGGAGCCTCAGTGAAACTCGAGCAGAGTTGCTTCAAATAATCGAATAGCACAGTAGCAGAGTCCAGTCCCTTACTGGAACTGCTTTAGGCACTCCCTATTTCGTTATAAGTAAATCTGCACGCAAATTTTCATTGGTTGTGACGCTCACTAACCTTTGTCGAGTGGATGTTTTGTCTATTGCACACAAGCAGCAATCTTTAATCTAAAGAGTCAAATTTAACATAGATATGTTACAGTTTGCCTATTGGCCCATGCGTTAAAAACATAATATTTTATTTGAGAATAAGATAACCTCGTCCAAATTCAATCTCGGTCGTACTGATACACTTTTAAAGCGATATTTAGGAGTAATGGGACATTTGTATTAACGGAGAGTTCAAATAAGATGTTAAGTAGACTGGTCGAGTAAATTGAAAGCGGAGACAAGTGTTAAATAAAGTTAATTAGGCCCTTAATAAAGTCATCGCGCGAGACGTTAGGCCTGCGGCCTGCTGAGTGCAGATGCAAGAATGTGACACTCACCAGACGAAGGTCTGTCGGAATAGCGCGTGCAGTAGACCCAAGCCGGCCACAGCTGAGACCCTTTGGCACAGTCGGCGTTGCCCACTTTGTCATCCGGGTTTGACGACGAAGCCGATACTGTGCTGCTGGCAGGTGACAGCGGAGGGCTCGCGGCGCCCGACGTCGGAACTGGCGTCGAAACCCCTTTGCTCCTCGCCTGCTGGTGGTTAGAAGTCTCCCGCGCAGAGACTTTGAAACTAACGTCTTCTGTAGGAAGCGTTGGATTTCTTACCACTGATGGCCAAGCCGATGTCTGCTTCTTCGTTGGCTTTGGCGCCGGCAAGGGCTGGATTCCCGGTAAGTGTTCATGAGGCCGATAAAGTCTTTGGTAATCACATATCGGTGTTACAGTGCGACGGATGCCTCCAGGCCTAAATAATGGTTCTTGCTGCTTTGATGTTATCACTGCTCGTCGACCGAAATCAGGTCTTAAGATGTTGGCTACCGAGAAAGGCAATGTCGTGGGTTGGGGCACCGTTTCATTGTTCGCGGGACGGGGTGACGGGCCACTGGGGGAAGACCCCAGGTGTTGTTGCGGTGGAGAAGCTTGGCAATGCCGGTTATGACTAGGGGATGAAGGAAGAGACGATTGGGGGGACACAGATGAGAACGAGGTCCTAGACCCATTACTTGGTGGCGACGGAAGGGGTTTCAAGGGCTGGTTATGCCGCTCACTAGGGGACGGAGATGAAAATGGCGGGTTGCATAAAGACGGGTGATTATGACTAGGGGACGATGGGGTTGAATCAGGGGATCGTGGTATGCACGCTGTGGGCTTGTTGTGAAGGATGTTATCAGCATACGCAGGGGGTGACACCGGCCCACAGCAATGACACGGTTGTTCTTGGTGGTTCGTGGTGTGCGAAGGGGGTGTGTGGTGTGTAAGATTAGGTGTCCCGTGGGAAACAGACGGTGAGCTAAGAACTGAAGGAGGCTGCGGGATTTTGCCGTTGCAACACAGACTCGTGCAAGAGTCTGGGGTTCCCGACCCGTTGGCGGGAGACGAGCCATCGCTTCCCGGCCTCGTACTTGATGTGGGGCCTGGGCTCGAGGCGCTGCTGGGGCTACAGCGATCCGTTTCAAGAGCCATTTCACTGCCTACACTTTCATTCTGTTGACGGCGCTTACATGAATACCGAAACACGCCTACCTTACGAAGGAATTAAAGTGTTCAGATGCACCAGACGGATACCTTGCAAGTCTTTTCAAGTTAGTGACAGTGAGACAGGTTTAAAAACACAGAAAATGCTCAGTTCCCCACATTGTTTCAAGTATAATATCATATTTACATGGCAGCGGGTCGATATAGCTCCACAGTAATCGAAGTTTCTCCATCGAATTAGCAGGACGAGTTTGTAACTGGTAAATTATCATCAGGGAGTTCTTCAGTAGCCCACAGCTACAGGCCTATATTTTTGTATGCATTATTCACATTTTTCAAATAAATCAGACGATTATCATCCTGTTACTAATCTGTAATCATACGACGTATATAAAGAAATAAAATAATTTCGAAATGTTATTCTGTTAAAGCAGAAACAAGACAAATTTTACAAAAAAAAATTGTAGAGAATCTGTCGAAATAAGATGCTACATTTACGACTAGTGCGTCAGTTTTATTTTAGCGTGTTTGACTTCTGTATTCGGAACAAAGCAACAGCGAATCTACTTTGATGCGACGCTTCGACTCTTTTATAAACAGAAGATCTTTGTTTGTTGATAAGTCACTATATTCACCGCAACGCAGCAGCACTTGTCAATGTCACTCGTACCACATAAATTGATGTGCTATTACAACTACTCGGAGAAACGCGTTCCTTCTGACGTGAAAACTGAGATAAAATATCGCAAGTCTTAGCGGCTATTTCTGCCAATCTATTTATAAACACGTAGAAACTCTTTGGTTCTGTGTCGCGAAAACTATTTACATTTTGTTTTGGGCATGGCTCCCCGAAGCCGGCGGCGACCTGTCAATCGTATTCTTGACATGTCAAGTCCAAAGCTCCTTTTAAGACTTACACAACTTCATGCACGGTAGTGGAGGGGAGGGGTTTCCCCTATCTCACTCTGCCTTCACCCCCGAAGCCCCCTTCTACCCCCTCTCCTACCATTCCTCATCCACAAGAACGCTTCAATTTGAGCTGTGAACTGACATGTCCACGTTGATATTGTTATTAATGAATGTTGAGACAGTCTGGGCCATCCTGATTTCTTGATGAGATATTTTACACTGTCAACACGTTTATTTTTATCAGTCGTAATAAGATGTGTCATTAACCGGAAAGGAGCCCAAATTCGGGTTTACTGATGTATGGCACACACTTGTAAATAAAGTACACTTTTTTTAAGTTAGTTTCTTGTAAAAATTAAAGAATGGTAACCACTGATAACATTTGTTTCAGTGTTAAACTTCCAGGCAATCCTCCAGCTCCGGGAGTTATCTTGGAAACTTACCGATCAGTTAAAATGTTCCGGTAATCCAGTAAAATCTTTTTATTTATTTTTCCTTCTTTCCACTGCGATGTTCAGTGAATTCGCCGGCTACTACGAGATGTACAAGACGAAATAAATTCTACATCTATTCCTTTTGATTCACAGGTTTACAACACGACTCACAATTCGCTGTCAACGAAACACATTAAAACTTGAATGAAGACGTAATTATTTATGTCTGTGTTGTCAATGTCAAAATCATAGTTGCACTTTTATGTGTATTTTGCAAAGGATGATCGCTACAGCCCAAACGCGGTCCTCATACCATTTTCTTATTGTAAAACGACGAAGTCATGAAGTCACTGCCACATTGACGTCCTGTCCACTTGTCGTGTGTACCACTGAACCTGTCTTCTTGTCTCTGTTTGAAGTCTTCATGCACAGATCACACGAAAACCAAAACATTTCTATCTAGATCTTTTCCTCCTCATTCCAAAGCCCCCTCGAACTACTCCATGCGCCTAAACGCAAGTCAAGTTTCCTCCTTCAACCCTCGCCCCTAAAAATTACCAACCTCCCCATCTGTCTCTGTCCGACACACGCAACCCTGCCACATACCAAGATCACAGCTTATTTAAACGTCCTCCTACAAAACCCGCCCATGTAGCAGACCAATCTACCAATAGGAAGCACGCTTACATAATCTATAGAGAAACGTCGGTGGGGATAGGAATTTCACTCTTCCGGAGGGGGGAACGGAGAGCAGACAGTTTGGATTGGTGGATCGAGGAGGCTGTGAAAAGTGATATTGGGTAGGTGGAGCCTCAGATTGAGCTGTTAGATAATAACCAAAGTCCCATAAAACAAAAATCAAGGCCCTATAGGAGAATAGAGATTTGAAGAGTGAGTGAGTGAGTGAAAGAAAGAGAGAGTGAGTAACAGATGATATTTCATTACATATCGCAGGACGTACAGGGGTGAGTTTATATAAGGATATATTTTACGTAGGATACTACAGTTATCTGTTTGTGTGTGCTAAAATCATGGATGAAATATTAACTGAAATGGCGTGCAAAATACACGACGTTACAGTTTTGTAACTGCATACTCACATATTGAACGCGCCCGATAAAAATTTGAAGGAATCGGACATAGAAGTTTCCGCCTTCTCAATGGAGACAACAAAGAACACTGAATTAGGTCGTCGTGCTTTGAATGTTAGAAAAAGTTACTGTTTAATTTTCATGAAGTACTCCTAAGTGTAATCAAAATGATATTTAATAATTTTGCTGTGGCTTTGTAAGTTCAATGTGCACCGTCAAACAGCCCTGTGAAATATTCTTAATCTCTCAGTGTTATAGGCCATTTCTTGTGATGGCCATTTAAGTGCTAATTTCATGTTAATTACGTCACAATGACAGCTGATAATTCGGCCTGAACTACAATTTTCTGAGCGTTGCTACCTTTTTTTTGTGATAGTCAACTTTTGACGAAATAGCCCAGTAAATTGTCCGTCTAAAACCGGGCTATTTGAGCTATCACGGGAGTCCCTCTTTGGTCTAGGCCTTCGCCCTTCGATTCTGTTGTTACATATCCACTCCCAATCTTCATCACGAACAACGAACAACTTCTTATTACAAGACAAACTTCCACAGCGTTTGATAATCGATACTGAAATTAACTTTAAGAATAATTTGGCGTTTTAATTTGTGTAAGTTGAGTTAACACATTTATGGTCCCGTTCTAACGAGCGGCTATAAAATATTTAAGAGGCTATTTGTAATTGCTGTGGTGTAATTAAGACAGGTGTTCGATTGATAGAAAGTTGGACTTGTTCCCACAGGCCTAAGGTACGTATGTATAAAAACGTAAATGACGTTTTTTTTTTGAGATTGCAGTAGTTAAATAGACTAATAAAACTGCCCTTCATTAGCAAAGGAACATGAAACATGATAGCTGTTATTGAAGAGCTGTAGATGATGACTAGAAGCTTGTTGTGGCCTACATCGTTCAGAGAGCTGGTGTCTTCTCTACCATTCTACCTCCGTGAAAGAGACTTGTCTCACAAATCAAAAAGAGGCTGTTCTGTGTTCCGCAGTTCAGCTTACGTGAAGATCAGAACGTTGGAAAACAGTTCCAGCCTATCATAGCCTGCAAATTCTTAACACCAAGGCTTACAAATATTTTGGGCTTACAGTAAATCTGAACGTTGAAAAACAGTTCCAGCCTATCATAGCTTGCAAATTCTTAACACCAAGGCCTACAAATATTTTGGGCTTACAGTAAATCATTACTGTTACTACTACTAATAATAATAATAATTCAATTCATTTCAATTCAATTCATTTATTAAAGTTCTTGACAACAGCCGAAACGGTCAATAATAATAATAATAATAAATGTAAACACGGTATCCAATCTTATAAAATTAAGTCTTCGTCATATCAAAAATAAGATCAACCACGGCATTCATATTCAAGACAGCTTATCAACAAAAATACTACATGAAAATGTCTACAGATCACTTATCTGATAAATCACAGAATCCGTGTTTCTAACTTAGGCTGTAAGGACGTGAATTTTAGGCTGTCAACCTAAAAACGGAGTTGAGGATAATAACTATTCGGAGTTAGACGGAGGATAATGGAAAAATAAATGAATAAAATAAAATAAATTACTACGATAATCTCTGTAATTTGTAATATTCGCCAAATAATCTCTTACACAACTTTGATAATGACGAGATAACCTACTGAAATTATTTCATACGCCTTCAGTTACCCTACGTATGCAATTATAATATAATAGGCCAAATTTTTATTTAAAATCAGTCATGACTCTGAATTTCTGACCGAATAACGCATATCAATCTCGATAGGTTCGAGTAGGTTCGACTGTACTCTAAATAACTGACAGTCGATTAATACCTACTGCATGTGGTGACTTAGTCTATTTCGTTTATGGAAATCGCATGCCTCTATTATCCGCTGTTTTCATATTCAATCTGACATTCGACGTGTTTGGTTTTATGTACCAGCGTTTTTAAATTGCGAGATTACACACAGAACGAATCGGTGATTTCTCAACCAAGAATTTACAGTGAATACGTTCGTTTTAACCCTGACACCGACAGAAGGCCGACAGACTCGGTGATGAACAGCGTAACTGCGGTGGGTATATGATACTGATAAAGACATTGAAGTTGAATGAACACGGCACGCGGCCACGTTATGAGGCGAGTCTGTTATTTGACGGCTGTAACACTACACAAGCGACAAGCAGATAAAACAGCGGTATTAGCAGGAACACTGATAGTGTTAATTCACTCATAACTACGACATAAATAAGAGTAAGCAACGCTTGGGATTAAATGTTAATAGACCTGTCTGAAAATAGACTGGACCATCAGTCATGTACTATTCTGCAACTATAATATTTTTTTCCAACGACTTCTCAAAACTGCTTTCAAATTTCAATGTGATACATCAGTATGCTGAGACACGTTTTCAAATCTGGTGTTTCTAACAAAAACTAGCCTATATAATCACAGTAGACAGACTATTAATAATATTGAATATGTATATGCAGTGAACTGCATTTGTTTTTCTTTCCTAAATTGTTTAATATGAAGGTATAAATGGGCTTGCATAAACAGAGTAAAATTGTAAATTTGTAAAATGCCGGTTAGAACGCTGGCCTTGTAATCCTGGGGTCTGGGGTTCGATTCCCGGCGGTGCCCGAATTTATAACTTGTGTTTGGCAAGGCCGTGGTCTAGGCAACACGGAGTTTTCCTCCGGGGCATCCCAACCATTACTCCATTCACACACAGAAGAAGGCAATGGCAAACCACTTCTGGATCATTTGCCAAGAACGTATATGAACAGGTCCCAGTCCGAGAAAAGGATGGAAGGATCCTGTTCATATGGACCTGTCGTCAGACAGAACACTAAATAAATAATAAAATAAAATAGCATCATTGCATTAGAATATATATAAGGAAAATTATTTGGCAAAATGTGAGACTTAAAAAGAAATGCTTTTTTGTGTTATAGCTCCATGGAAACAATCCATTTTTTACGTCTTATGGACCAAGCCACGGAAACTTCCCTCGTTGAAATGTAGAGTTAATACGCCAGACCTTCCTTGAAATTCGTTAACTTTGACTCTTTACCTAATCTTTAACACAACTCGAAAAGTCTTCCTTATTAACCCTTTGGGACCGAAGCTTGTGTAAATAACATTGATGAATTCACAATTAAAACGATCAACTGGTTAATGCGAATGTTTAGGGGGAAAAAAGCCCTGTTCTATGTCAAATGACAGTCGATTTTGCTTGTTCCTTCAGATTTACTGAAGTCTCTGACATTTGATTGGGTTTAAGTGAAAACAACAGCTTAAAAATAAAAACCTAACTTGGAATGACAACCGATTTCAGATGTTTGTAATCAGTATTTAGGCTCAGAAGTCACATTTTCAAGTTATTACAATCTTAATTAATAATTTTATTTATTATATTTTTAAATTTCGAACTATATTTAGTAGGTTTATGTTCCTAATAAAAAAGTATTCCTAGGCAACATAAAACAATTCCTTCTAACATTACCTTCTTCTTCTTCTTCTTCCACCGTCAAGAAGCACCCTGGTGTCCGTGGTAAGAACCACGACTAATAATTCTATAATAATCGATTATCCATATAGTGACATCCAAGCTTTCCTCCTTTACAACAGTGAAGAAAAGTTATGATGTATGGTCAGTTTATTTATATTGAAGTTCTTCCCACTGGTAAGACAGCGTTATGAATAAAGTCACTCAGCTTTATTTTTTACTGATCTAAAACAAGTCCTAAATAATGAAACTAAATGAATAAGCCTACTGTAGGCCTATTCATGTTTCAACACAAATGTTCCATTATCGTGTCTCATGGTAAGACTCTCACACATCATTCATACAGGATTCATCAAGAATGTAGGCTACTGAGTGGCTTCCATTACATTTGTAGAGGTGTTGCCTTGCCTCTATGATAGTGTTGCAATATCTCCAGCATTAATGGCTAAGCAATATTAATGGTTCACAAAATCAACAATCCCTGAATATGACAGACGAGTGTGAGATTAATGACTTACGAATAATGCATAGTCACATGTATCTTGTAAGTAATCAGATATTCGAAATTCTTTTTAAAATAACGCTGTCAAGAACCCTCTTCCAGTACTTATATAAGTACGCTGTATTTTGACTTATTATAGCCCGCCGTCCTGAGCGTCGTAGATGTCTGGCCTCTGTCGGAGCTAGCAGGCTCAATCCGCAGTTATTCCTGCTTCAGAAACCCAAATACCTTAAAAACTTGAAATTCTAAGTCTTCACGACGTTGAAGACGGACACAGTACGATCATCCAAAACTTTGGAAGTCACT